TAATGTAGATTTGTGCCCCATCGCACTTGGTCGGCGCCGAGCAGTGGTCGGACCTGAGCAGTGGTCGGCCCTGAGCCCTGCTCGGCCTGTTCGGCTAGAGCTAGTTTTACCGTCACCGAGTAGAGTTGGATTTGCCAAGCTTACGTCGCCGAGTAGTCAGTACCTATTGCCCCCTACTCTCAAGGTAGTGTATTGTCGATATCTTTTGAGAGTATGCTTGTAGACGAGGTAAGGTGTTTTATCAAAGTCGCTCGGCATCTCGTTTTGGATTTAGAAGACATAGTTGATAGAGAACCAAACAAATGGATACTTTATTGAATAAAAGAAACAATAATTAGAAATCTTGCTAAAATTAGAGAAACAAAAACAACCACACTTGAAGGGAAAAAAGGAAAGATCAACAGCCCCCCTTAGTAGAAGTCCTGTCGTTGCCCCTCATTGAGGTATAGTAGCATTCCCGCGACACTCGTTGCTCTCCTTTAATCTTTCCTACTCCACCCGATGTTGGGAACTTCATGGACTGGTGGTATGTGGATGGTATCGCTTTGAGCATATGCATTGTCGATCTTCCTAATATTGCGTTGTAGGAGGATGTGTAGTCAACGACTAAAAAGTCCATCATCTTGGTGACGCTTTTTGGCCCACTTCCGAACGTTACATGCAACTCTATCCTCCCCTCGGGAATGACTCGTTCCCTTCCAAATCCTATCAACGGTGCTGGGCTACTCTTAAGCACCTTTTCTCCTAAATCCATGACTTTGTAGGTTGTCCAGGAGATGATATCCGCCGAGCTGCCCCCATCCACCAAAATTCGATGTACTTTCACATTTGCTATCTTCAAAGTGATAACCAGTGCATCGTTATGAGGATGGAGGAGGTGGGTCGCCTCGTCCTCTGAAAACTCGATCGTCACTGACCGGTCTGCAATATACGCATGGTAGACCTTATTTTGTCTGAGGCTCGCCCTAGCTTCTCGTACATCTGCCTTTCTTTTTCTCCCGGATTCTCTCTTTATTGGGCCTCCCATTATAGTTCGAATCTCTCGAGCAGGGGACTTGTCGTTTTCACCGTGGGTAGCTTGAATTTTGGAGGAACTTTCTCTTTCATGATCTCTTCCGTGAATGGTGAGTCGACTTGATCCAGTAGTTCTTCGAGGTCGAATCCCTTCTCCTTTCGGTTCTGTCGCTTCTCTAAAGACTCTGGCTGATCCGTCGATTTGCCTTTGTCGAGGCCTACCGGCTCAAAGTTTCGGTTATCCTGGTTGTTCTTGCCCCCGTTTGGTGTCGGAGATTTATGTTGCTTTTTGATCTACTGGGAGTCGAAAATCCGGGTTCGTCGCCTGGTATTTCCACCTATCCGTAACTTGCTCCATGCATTGTTTGTTGATTCCTCAGTCTCGCTTTGTGCTGAGCCCTTCCCTTTCCTCGGGTCTCTGACAAGGGGTACCTTGTTGGGCTCTTATTGCTCAAATTGTTGAAGGACTTGGGTCATGCATTGCATCATGCCCTCTACCTTGTCTTCCAAGACCGCGAACTGCTTTTGGAGTGGCTCAGGGGTCGTTA